CATTGCAAGAGTCTGACAGCCACAGGCCTGACTCCCAGAGTCATGATGGTGGGATTCATAGTTTCAGCACAACTGGAGGGCCGGAGTTTGCCTACCCCTGATATATGAGAAGGGGATTGTGAACCTACAGAATAAGTAGAGAAACGGTGGAGTATTGTTCCTTTACCTGAATGCCTCAAGTCTTTATATATAAGCTGACGATTGAACATGTTGTCTTTTCTCCAACTCGCAGGAGGATGAAGACGCAGTGCAGTTTGCGAACCGCGTGAAGTCAGCCATTGCTCGGCAAGGGGGACTCGTCGATCTGCTTTGGTAAGCCTGGAACATTTGCTGCTCTTTGCATCGGTCATATCAGTCACCTTTGTAACTCACTGCTGATTCTCCGTTCCTCCGCAGGGATGGGGGACTAAAACGGGATAAGGTCAAAGACGCGTTCAAAGAGGAGCAACAGAAACTGTACAGCCGCATCATCTCTGGAAACCAGGAGAACCGGAGTCGCTCCTGAACCCCAGAACGGGGAAGCGAGCTCTGCCCCGAGCCAAGCCGCTGCTCCAAAACCCACAGGAAGAAGACTCTGAGCCGCAGGAATATAAGCCATGGAGCGGGAGATGAGGGAACACCAGAACACGGAGCCACTCTGGATTACTTTATAATTGAGGAACTGATACTGCCAGAGCAATGGCGTGCAGCGGGTCCTTTTTAAAGGACAGGCGGCTGTCATAATGGGACCTGTACTCGCAGGCTGACATGTTCAAGAATAGTGACTGTTGCAGAGCCATGCACCCACTTACTGAGACGTGTGATGATAATCTCGTGTTTTGCAAATCCACATTTGGCCAGAATGTCTTTTTGAATGTTACAGATCCACAGAACTCGTCCCACAGAATCTGAAAGGTCATACAAGATTGTATGTTACATGTTCTGAACTGTACGCTGCTGCTGATTTACCAGATCACTGATATCAAGGTCAGCTCTACCAAAGACTAGACAGGACAGACCTCTGGGTAAAGCTGTTTAGTCGGTATAGCCTTCCTCCGATCAGGCCCCATTCACCTGCAGGAATTCATACAAAGCCAGCAAATGCTTGGACCTCTACAAACCAACGTCCTTTTCCCCAGTTTTTGAAATTCCCACTTCGTCCTTTCCATTTGCTGCTTTTAAACGACCTCCAGCTTTGCAGACAGAGGTGGGCGGACCTTCAACAAGCTAAAAACGGGGGTTAATGATGGCACCATGTTTGAGACCCTCTCAGATCCCCATACTGAATCAGACATGTGCCTCCCTTTCTATCTGTTACACCTTCCCTGCATGGGCCGCTGGCCACATCCCATTTTGTTTTTATGAAATAAACATCTTGGAAAAAAAACAAACCGTCTTGCCCTCCATCGGTGAATGATCTGAATAACAATAAGCACTGACATGAAAGTTGGTTATTACTTAATGTAACATTACTTTAGGTAGTTATGGCACCTCAAATATTGATGTGGTACAGACGTTCATGACAGGAAATTTGGTGAAGTCAGAGCTGCATAGTTGTTTGAGAGAGAGGGACGTTTTGCTGGTCACCCAACTAGCTTCATTCTGAATTGAGAAAGCTGGTTGGATGGCCAGTGAAACGTCTTCAGGATAAATACAGCAAGTCCAGTTGCCTTGGTTTATTTTTTACAGTTATACCATGACCTGGGTGGTTGAGAACCTTCTACAGATATACCATGGCCTGGGTGATTGAGAACCTTCTACAGATATACCATCACCTGGATGAATGAGAACCTTCTACAGATACAGGTGAAACTCAATTAATTAGAATATCGTGCAAAAGTAATTGCAGTAAGTGCTGCAAAAGGGGCCCAAACCAAGTACTGAGTACATATGCATGCTTGTACTTTTCAGAGGTCCGATATTGTTCTATGTACAATCCTTGTTTTATTGATTGCATGTAATA